AAATAATTTTTCTGTTTATCTGAAATGTAATCATGGTGGAGTTAATCTGATGAATCCTCTCATTGTAATGAACACATCTTAAAAGGACAGATTTCTGTTTAAAAATTTATATTCCTTTTTCGTCAACAATTAGAATGGAAAAAATTTAAAAAATACAACCCCTCACACAATCAAAATCTCATACCTTGCCCCTTCTCCCCACAAAAGAAAAAAAAAGATAAATAAGAGATAAGTAAGAGATAAGGGTCTGTGAAGAAGAGATCAAGGGAAGCAAAAAAGTATTTTCATCCCTCTGGTGGCTATTGTGAAGCTTGGACAACTTCAAATGTAAAAAGCACTATCAAATGTTGGGTTTTTCAATGATTGAAGAGTAATATTGTATCAAGGAAAACATTTAAGCAGAAGAAAATGCAGTAAATTAAATACCAATGATCTTTATGCTTGAGTTAAAGCTACAGGTGGAATATTTATATTACCTTGGTTATGATAAGGTCCACAGTGCATTCTTCAGGTTCTGATTAACAGCACTTTTTAATACACCTAGCAAATTAAAATGCAGAAAATGCTTATGGTGCATTAATCATGTGCACTGGTCTGCAAATTTCAGCTCTTATTATTGGGAAAGGGAGAAGACAGTGAATTATAGCTGTTGTGGTTTATGATGATAATGATGGTTATTGTCATTATTATGTGCCTTCACAGACATACTTGGAGTCCAGGTTGAGGGGACTTGGCAAATGTGATTCTTCAGAGTGAGAAAAAAATCATCATGAGCTGCATGTATGATGGAAATGCTGAAACCCAAATTGGCCACAGATATTCTGGGATTTCATAAGTTATAAGCAACAAATGCAGCCACATTAAATGTAATCCTGGATCTAAAAACAGCTTTCCAAAGATGTGCAAAAACACTTTCAAAGACATGAGATTCTGCTGTTGAATTAACTGACATTGCAAGTAAAGAGATGCTTTGTTTCAATGGAGTTTTCTGCGTGTTGCCATTGGGGAAATCTGCTGAAACAAGTTCACAAAGGATCCTTAGCCCACAGGTGTCCTGAAACAGGACTTGTGTTGCACAAAACCATTTATTGATCCAGGCTTCTCCTCCTGCAACCACATGTGCTTTTTCTAGATGAGCATCTCTAAGAACCTCAAGAAATCTAGGCATTAGGCAGATAAGGCTTCTGTGCTGTAAATTTGTTCAATTGTGCTTTCCTCTGCTACTCTCACTACAGCAAATTGTGAGCACACATTCACAAATGCTTAACAAAGTATTTCCTGGTTCAACACTACATGAGAGCCATATCTCAAAGGAGAAAAGCTCTTTTGTGAAATGCAATTGCAGTAATGGATTAGGTTGATGTTGGGCAAATGTGTTCTTCAATATGTCCATCACTGTAGAAAGCTGATTAATTCATAGTGCCAAGAGGTTTACTTGACATTGCTAGCTCTGCCATCTTTATAGTGCTAGTTAGATAAATTATTTCCTCAAAAAAAAAAAAAATTAATAATAAAGAAAAATCACTCATTGAAAGTATAAAAAAAAATCTCCCAAAGGGAAAACTGGGAGATGGCTTCATTTACAATAAATCATGTAAATCATGGCTTCATTTACAATAAATCATGGCTTCATTTACAATAAATACTCATGTCAGCTGGACAGGTATTCTCCAATAAAAGCAGTAATTTGGTGAAGTGAACAGGATTCCAGGGCTGATAGGAATTGCAGGCATCCTGCTTGGTTACAGCTGTAAAAAAGCTCACTTTCAGTGCCTCTTATCTGGACAGTGCAGCTTGCAGAGGCATTTGTGCCTTCTGGACTCAGAGATATAAAGTTGCATAAATAACTCCAGCCTTAGTGCTCCAAGGTAGAATTAGGAGATTACTGTTTGTTTGGGTTTTTTGAAAGAGGGAACCTGACTGACTGACATTTAGGAGAAAATTGATTTTTTTTCCCCTGTCAGGGTTAAGAACCAGCCAGCAACCAAGCCCCAGTGCAGAAACTCATTTGCTCCCCAACCAGCAGGACCAGGGAGAGAACTGGAATGGTGAAACAGAGAAAACTTGTGAGTTGAGATAAAGAAGGTTTAATAGGGAAAGCAAACGCCATGGACACAAGCAAAGTAAAGCAAGGAATTAATTCATTGTTTCCCATGGCAGGTAGGTATTCAGCCATCTCCAGGAGAGCAGGGCCTCATCACACATAACAGTGACTTGGGATGACAAACATGATTACTCCAAATTTCCCCCCAACCTCCTTCTTCTGCTCACTTCATAAACTGACCTTGATGTCACATGCTTCGGAATATTTATTTGGGTCACCTGTCCCAGCTGTGTTTGCCCCAATCTCTTACACACCCCCAGGTCCCTCACCAGTGTGGCAGCATGAAAAGCAAAGAAAGGTCTTGGGTCTGTGTAAGCCCTGCTCAGCAATTAAAAAAAAACAAAAACAAAAACAAAACCATAAAAAACGCCACAAAAACAAACAAACAAAAAAACCCAAAAAACAAAAAGCCAAAAAACCCCAACAACAACAAAAAAGAAAAGTTTTTTGTTAAAACCCTCTCTGTATTATGAACCCTGTGTTCAGAACAAATCCAAAACATTTCCTCACAGCAGCCACTGTGAAGAGAATTAGAGAATTAACTCTACACCAGCCAAAACCAGCATACTCTTGAAATTTAAGAGAAAATAAAAGAACAAGAGAAACTCTATAAATATGTTAATTATATTGATTCAAGCACTCTTTCAAATATGATGGTTACTTGTGCTATTCAGATACCTGAATAATTCCCCTTCAGGGCAAATATTTTTCTCAACTGCCTACAGAAGGAGATCTGTTTCATGCTGCAGAACAGCAGTGAATATCCTTAAAGCTCATTTTGAGATATTCAAGGCAGGAGTTGCACATCAGGCTAACACTCTCCTGCCCTGATGTCCTGAGAGAATCTGAGAGCACAGCAGTCTGTACAAGGTGGCAGTAATCTCACTGACAACAAAGAGCAAGAGCAAAGCAAAGGAAGTGTTAATCCAAGTGCTCTGGATTTTCCTTCATCATGAAACAGGGTGGAGTCCAAAGCTTTATCCAAATTGTGGCTTCTCAGTGAATTTCCACTGGTTAGCATCTTCTGGGTTTCAGTGACCATGTTCCCCTTTTAAAATACATTAATGTATCAGGCAGACTATATCTACTCCATACCCTGTGCCACATTTCCCACTTGGCAACTCTATACATACATCTTTCTGTCCTTATCTGTGGTCTCTGCTCATAAAATGCATGGGAAAGGACATCTGAAATTAACAATGTGTGACTAGCGAGCTGCAGGTAATCATGCTGTCTGGGGAAAATAAATTATAAGAAATAATACAGATTATTTCAGCCAAATATGGTTCTTAATTATATTTATAATTTGACCACTTCATGCACATACAAAATACATCAAACTCATAATGATAAGAAGCAGACAATGGCCCCCAAATATACAAAGAAGCATTTTAAATAACGTTGTGCTAAATGCACATTTGTGCACATCCTTCCAAAATACACTGTCATGCTTTCTCTTCTTCCATAGATGTCAGAGCACTCTTTGAACAAGACCTTGTACTTCTGAATTCTCATAGGCATTGCAACCATGAAAGGAGCAAGGTGTAAGCCAAAAATGTAAGTTTTAAAAGGAAAATAAAAAGGTAATGCAATTCTCCACATGTAAACACTAAAGGGATGGGCAGCTAAAAATATACACTCTCATACTAAATCAAGAATCCTGATTTCCATATAAGATGATTTCCACCTGAAATCTCAGAGAATAAGACACAAAGTTAGATTTGGTCCATGAGGCTGAGATGCTGTAATTCCCTTCTAAGAGTTCATTAATGATACATTTAGCACTAGATACTTGCAAATTAATAAAAAAATAAAACATAATTCCCATTGTTGTTTAAAAGAAGGGGACTCCATACTTCATGAGAAAAGGATTTTAGTAGTGTTTAAGAAGTTTTTCACCAAGGGTGTCAGTGAGGTTTGTATAGGACATTAAGCTCAGATCAGGGATGCTTGTTCTGTGTGTGTTCTCTGCCACAAATCACAGTGCTGGTGCTTTCCATACAGCTGTAAACAAACAGGAAATTCTACATGCAATTAAGTTCCATTAAGCTGTCCCAGAAACATGAGTTCATCCAGTCTCCTCTCTCAGACCAAATCTAGCAACTGCATGAATTCATGCAAGGATCTGCAGAGTGTCCAGTCCCATCTCTTGGAGAGATATTGTAGCTAAACCAAGTGCAAACCCTCGGATACCCGATCCTCCTACCAGGCTGATAAAGATTCATTCATGCTATACCCACACCAGGTGAAACCCTGTTTTCCTCACACTCTGGTTGCTGACAGTGTGCCATGTGCTCCTTCCAGAGTCAGTCCCAGCTCCCAGAGGAGCTCAGCAAAGCTCACTGGTCCTGTCAGCAGCTGTGGGCTCCTCTCACAAACAGCCTGCTTGGAAAACTCTGGGTTAGCACCGATTGCTGCCCTTGGGAACACAGCAAACCACAAACCTCTGTTACCCAGGCTGCTAATTCTCACTCTTCCAGGGCCATGAAACTCTTTGTAGGTGATGAATCCCTTGTATATTTTCCTCATGACATAAAAATTTGGATCAGCTTGGCTATTTCCCCTACTGGTATCTTGTTCTTATTTTAGGAGTGAACTATTTTTCGACTCATTTGTGTTTACATTTAGCTTGTATTTATGCTTAACTTGTGTTTAACTTCCCTTTATTATTTTAAATTTTTAATTTAAAAAAATCCCTAATCCAATTAATGTTGTAATATTACATTTGTCAGGTATTGTTGAAATGCCAGGTTTTCTGCATTTTCTGGATCTGCTTTCTTAAAGCAAGGCCATCCTATATTTTTTATATATATACATATATATGTATGTATGTATGTGTATATATATATGTATGTATGTATATGTATATACATATATACTTTTATTTTATTTTTTTTTAATTCAGTCTTGTAAGACTTAGATTTTAAATTACTTAGTTCTTTTGATCTCCTTTCCTGATATCACTCACAAGAGGAGCAAAGCAGCCCTTTCGAACAGAGATCACACATCAGAAAAAGATTTATGTGGACCAGATCCTGAAACTATAGAAACACAGCTGCATAATGCTGGATTTGTTTTTAATCTGCATCCTAACTTTTTATGACAGCATTTTACCCCAAAAATACATTATCAACATAAAGCATCACTTATTTAAAACGCTGCCTTCCCAGTATAAATTACTTCCAACATTGCCTTCTAAATCTGTGACTTTAGCACATGGAGACTAAAAGTGTCTTCTGAAAGTAAACCAGCTGAGGATCTCGGTAATACTTTGCTGATACATATTTCTTCAAAAAAAGTAATTTAAATATCGTGTTTCGCTTTCTTTTGCCACAAGAGGGCGATCCCTTAATTCGTGTCCACAAAGGCAATGTACAGACACAAGATGGACTCGTTTTCTATCTAAACCAGTATTTCAATTTCTTATGTAGATAAATTGATGAATTTCATTCTGTCTGTGTTCACAGCATGCATGTGGCTTAGATGAAGTTACTAGGCAATATCATTTAGCTGTGGGAGCACACTGTGCTTCATAAATGGCTGATACTGAAAAAAAAGGTGGGAAGCAAATAGGATTTCCCTTCATTATCTTTAGAAGTAGCAGTACACTGTATTAACACATCTCATTGTTCTCAGTGATGAACTCAGACAGGTCACAATCAAAAGGAATAAGATCTTAAGACGTGCTGCTTTCAGAAGCATGAGAAATTTGTGAAACAAAGAAAAGATATCTCTTATACTTTTCATCCACTTGTGAATGTTTAGCTATTTGAATTTGTTAAATATGCCATCATGTGCAACAACATACAGCGCAAGCACGATCCACACAGGGAACTGATTCAAGCACTCAAAACCTGAAGATTGTCATGCCCTCCCTAATGCAAAACTCTGATTGCATTTACTTAGAACCAGATAGCTGGGAAGATTTTGTTTAAAATGCTTCTAAACAGTCATCATGAGTGTACAATATAACTTACCATAGCATTTTTGTTTTCAGTCCCAATATTTTACATATATAAACCTGTGAAATTTACTCAAACCAAGACTGATTTCTCCCTCTTAAGTCCAAATAAAATTTTGCTCAGAAACAGTGGATGGATTTTGTCCATCAAGAGTCAGCTATGTTCCTGGGCAGCCGGTAATGCTCTGGCCTGATCCTTGCCTTCTTCTCCTGAGGGCTGGCATATTTCCACTTGGATGGAGACATTTTCAGCTTTTTTCTCTTCTTATCTGTACACCACACTTTTTCACAGTACTCTTCCACCCTCTGGAAGTTGCTGTAACCTATCAATTGAAGAAATTCCTTATACCATGGCTTTGAAGCCTGAGGTATACTGCTCTGCATTGGGCATGGCATTTTGTGAGGGATCTCCTCCTCGTAGTCTTTATTGAACATTTCGTCTACACGTTCCTCCTCGACTATCTCCAGGGTGATTTTCCTGACAGTGTGAACAATGCTGTGTTCCACTGTCTGACAAAAATAAGTCCCTGCATCCAGTCGATGCAGCTTCAGGAATAAAAGGCCAAGGTCCATTTTTATTATTCTATCATCAGTCTTCACCTGAAAAAAAACCCCATAAAATGAAGTTATAGAGCACAGGCCTTTGCTATTCCATTAAACCAATTCAATTATTTCTGAACTGTACTTTCATGACTGTTATAGTAAATTTTGAGAGGAAGATTAGAGATCCACAAATTTTTAATTTACAGTGCTTTTTGAAATAAAAAAAATATTTACTTGAAATAAAGAAGAGATTGAGTTGAAAATGGAGAACCATCTAATGAATCTGGGAAGCATGGAAGAGCATATAGTGAAGCAGACAGAGGGGAAATAAGTTAGAAACATGCAAATTATCCACTGGATGGAAAAAAAGGGCATTTGCCAGCTGACCTTTGATAAGGATCCCTGTAAATTCTCTCATAGACTGGTATGCTTTTGAGGAGACATTCATAAAATTATTTGCATCTTTAAAAGCAGGACCACTGTGATCTTAAAGCCTCAGTTCTGAGTTTGCTGTTTAAGTTCCTCCTACAGCTCCTGAGGGTTTCAGAATTGACTATGAGACATTCACAGGTGTTGGCAAGCAGGGAGCTCTGAGCTGTCTAATCCAGCAGCAGGAATGGTGAGGAAAATGGTATCCTCAGCTTTTCATTTAACAGTAAGGTGATGAATTTAAGCAGAAGTAATGAGTGATGAAGGGATCCAAAGCAGCCCTGAACAGAATGAACTCAGGACCTGGCAGTACTGAAGGATGAGGAACTGGATGAGAGCTGGCCATGTCCACTTGTAGAAAACCAACTGCATCCTGTGCTGGATAACAAGAAGTGTGGCCAACAGGCCAAGGGAGGTGATTCTCTTCCTCCAGTCTGCAGTGATAGCTACATTGATGTGTATCAGAGAGGTATGGAGGAATGAATATGATTGCACTTATGAAGAACTTTCATAATGGTAAAATACATGTAAAAGAGGCAGAGAATCCACCAACACTTATTTGCAAAAAATTTATAATAAATGGGTGAGGCAGCAAGAATGAATAGAAGTTAAGCTAGACTAACACTGGAAATAATACATACACATTTCATCCCTGCAAAAACATACCAAGAGAAGTGATGGATATTCCTTCATTTTGAGATCTTAAATTAGCTCCACTACATGTTCAACATCTGCATTCAAGATGTTGAATGCAAACACCAGGTGAAATTCTCAGGTCTATTAATTCAAGAGACCAGATGAACATAGTGATTTTCCCTGACACCCATTTACGTTTCAGCAACTGGTGGCAGAAATTCAGTGAAGACGTAATGTTCCTAACAAAGGGCTCTTTTATTGAAAAAAGTTAGTCTATAAGAATATTTCTACCTCTTCCTTCTTAGTGTCATGTGCTCGCTGGACAAACCAGATGACTTTTGCTTGCAAGGTCCGAGGGGTGCACTCCAGAAGGGTGCTGTTGTACTCTATTCCATAAACAAGTCTTTCCTCAGTCTTCTCCAGAACTTCACCTGGAAGGAAAAAAATGTTTCAAAAATATGTTACTGCAAGTACTTGTAACACTCCATGAACATTTGCTTTTAGGAGTGAAGCTTAATTCCAATCCAGCCAGAAAGTGACTGGAGAGTAATGTCTAAGGAAGATCTGACCTGCTAAATGAATTTTCCCATCATCTGAGGCTTTCACACCATCTGACCAAATTGTGCTGACTCACCTAACATTACAGAGAAACAGATCTCAGCCTTTCACACTGCTAATTGCTTCTGCCTGGTTCTTATGAATAGTTAATTTCATTTTCACTCAGTGAAACAGAAGGATTCAAAACATGTTTAAATATAATAAAATTTTCAATTTTTTTAGGGATAATTACGGCACATAACTGTTTGCAGAATGATACTATAAATAATCTAACCAATATTTTACATATCCATGCTATACATGTATTAACTGAATGTACAGTTTGGGCCCAAGGGTGCTAATAAAAACAAGGTGAAAGAATTAAATCAAAATTCAATTCTGTTTTCAATCCAACAAAACATCTGGAGGAAGATAAGCTAGTTGTTACACTGGACACAACCAACTGCTTCATTAATGAAATCATTTTATTCCATAATGGTGAGAAAGATTCTTGAGCCCAAATACCTTTATATCTTAAAAAAATACACTGTTTTATATAATTCTGATTTCTCTGTTGTATTTTAAACTTGTGGAAGAATTAGCACTTAATATTGGAACATACTTTTCCAACATGTACAATATCATCCAATGGATATATAAATTATATATATATATGTAAAAAAAATATATATAAAATATTTATGTAAATATTTAAAATAGTGTTTCTCTGAATATTACTCTAGAAGAAACTTTATTGGTTTTTTTTTTTCTTCTATAAATGTATTGAATATTATCCTGCAAATTACAGAGCATTTCCATGCAATTGTTTTCTTTCTGGTTTTCTATTCCCAACACCCACGTTTGAAATCCTCACTTTTCAAGGTTTGGATAACAGTACTCTATCTTATTTTTTTTAGAGAAAACTTGATCGTAAATACACATTTTTATTCTGTCATGTCACTGCTCATACCTATTCTTAAATTTTAAGTGTTCTGACTACTTCATGCACATTTCAGAATGCAGCTCTATTTATTGTTTATTATTCTTGCCTCATCTTTCTGCTTTTCTTTTTTTTTTTCTGTTGGGAGCCATTGGGATGCATTCTCCACATCTTTAGTCTGCACGTCAGTGCTGCAGCACCACATGAACATTTTGGGATGTCACCCACTGAGACCGTCACCCTTAGACGTGGATGGCAGGGGCTCAGCCCCACGGCTCTCACAACATGACAGGAACATGCCAGGGAAAACAGCAGGTGAGATCATGGTCTGGCTCGTGTTCCTGGCAAACCCTGCGCTGGCTGTTCCAGGCCTTTACAAGCATTTGTGCATTTGAACAGATTACCAATGAACTGCTGGCCGAAGCACTGCTGCGCCGCGTTCCCGTGCCGAACGTCTTGTCTGCGGAAACGTCTGCAGGGAACAAAAGTGGAATTGTTTAAGAGAAAACGTTTAGCTTATGTGTTGTTTGGCTTATGCTGAGCTAGCCTTCATTAAAAACTTCAGGAGTTAAACCTTGATTGCTAACAATTTACCACTGTTGTGAGAAGTGCTCATTTATAAAGCAGTATTCTGTCTCCACTCAACCTACTGGGAGTCATGTGTCTGAAAGAAAGAAATATGCTTGTCTGGAGAAGAGGTACAATTATGTGTCCATTTTATATATAACTATACTAGTGTTATAAATATGAAAACAACATCCTTTGAACTGACTCGATAACACTCAGTCATAGGCACTTTTAGCCTGTCTTTGGGTTCTCTATGTCCTTCCAGAAAGGAAGGAAATTTTCCTTTTTAATTCAGCACAGTTTCCCATGGACGTGATGGTACTTCTTTTATCCTTTACTCTCATGGTTTTTTGGGTATTTTTCTTCACTTGAGAGTCGCAACGTGTGGAAGAAACACTTTATTTTATTTCACTTTTGTACCAGACAGTTACTGAGCTCGTTTTTCTCAACAGGGAAATATACATTCATGAATGCTCATGCTTAGAAAATGAACTGGTGGAAGAAGAACTGAAATCAGAACATGTGAACCCTGTTTTTGACCTGGAAAAAATACAAGTCCTTTTGAAAGAAAAATCATTCTGACTTTTGAGGTTTGAGTTTTTGATTGCATTTACAGAAAAAAAAATATTAAACCCATTATTATATATAGTGTATTCCCAAAATAATTGTGCCTTCATATAGCATTTATTTTCTTTGAGTGCCTTGATAAATAAATCTAGGATTGTTTACCTGGAAAATAAAAGAGTCTATAGGAATGCTGTATCTTGCTACATTAGTATGTCCAACAACCTCAAATGTAGTTTTTCTGAGGATACTGTTCCTGTATTTGCATAAAGAGTAATTCTATACAGTATTGTCAATGCCATACATAAGAGATTAACAGAAGAAATGTGCAGTGCAGCAAATCTTACACAGTAGGTATGTGTACAGTAAAAATTACATTAGAAACAAACAAAGCCAAAGAGTTCTGTTATTCTTTGCATTTTACTAGTGAAATAAGGTTGTTCTCCAGTTCTATGTAAACCCAAAAGATAAAATTTTAATTTTTCACAAATTGAATTTACAGAAACTATTTAGATTTATACCACCTAAAAGTCTTGTCCATGGATGTTACTAATTTTATTTTTAATCTGGCTGTAGACAGTGATTATTTTCTGAGTTTTGTCACCCATATGATCCAGTGTTCTTGGTGGACAAAGATTAACCTCCACTGATATTCAGAGAACAACCAGTGTTTTTCCATTGTTGTTTCAGGGGAATCTAGAAATTCAGTGAAGACTGCATTGGGCTTTTAGGGAGAAATGCTAACAATACTTGCATCCTATTAAAGAAAAACAGTGGTAGCAACTGGGCCTTATTCTGCCCTGGGTGTTGACATTGCAATGTGTTGTGTCAGTGCTGATAAATGTTGTCACCAGGTTTGCAAGTCTATGTGTGCAGATTACTCAGAAGAGACATTCTGCTGCACAAATATACATAAACACTATAGGATATGCAACAATCCTGCTGCTGTAAGGTCCAACAGCCCTAGCTAGCAGGAACAGGTAGCAAGCATGCTCTATTTACTCATGAGTTCCTTAAGATCACTGTAAAGCTAAAAAAAAAATAGTTCTGTAAGACAGGATTATTTCTCCAGTTGTCAGAATCATTAAAGAAAAAAAATGTTTGCTTGATGGAATTTTACTGTTGCAGCTGTGAAGACTGGGGAAGATACAGTGCCTTCACTTACTATTTTCAGTGCCTTCACTTACTATTTTCTCAAATAGAAGGCAAAAATTGAGAGAAGTGCTGAAAGAGAGGGAGATGCTGGGAGATAAACTCATCTCACAAATGCTGACATAAGCCTGGTATTATTTTTTTTTAGAAATTATTTTACTCAGAATAATAGATTATCAGACAATCCCTGAGATAAATTACTGTAAGGAACAATTTTCAGTGATTAACAAATGCACTGAATTTCGAGAAGTATCTTTTGCAATCTATAATTTCATTGATTTAGATTTCAGCCCTTAACTCTGTGCTTCCACAAACCTAGTAAAAATGATCTGCAAGAAAGCAACACAGTCATCATCATCATCATCATCATTACCATCATCATAATTTTCATTTTTCTTTATTATTTCCCTGGCAGAATGAGGCAGAATCAAGAAGTCTTGGGAAGAAAAGGCACCACTATGTTTACATAAGTAAATCAGTAGACTGCGTGCCTGGTGGAGTGGGTGATGGAGAAAGAAAACAGAGAGGGAGAGGAGGCAGGGGAGAGACTGTCAGCTTCTAAAAATTAGCTAAAGAATCACACAATGCCTACCCAAGTTCAAAGACATTTTTAAATTACTTCAGACCTTTTTCAGCCTGGATGGGGAGCTGATACATCAAAGAATCTCACTTGTAGAATTTGGTGCTTGTTTAGATAAAAATTGAAACTGACCAAATCAGAATGCAGAACTAATACTGAACTAAAGCATTTAAGTCCTGGACCTCTGGTTTCTCAAGTGCACTTCATGAAATTTGAATGCAGTAGAAATTCCTTCTGCCATCTGAGGTATTTGCAGTATTCAGGAGCCACACACCTGTAATTAGCATGGAATTGTGCTGTGTTGTGCTGCCTTCATCAAGATATGGGATTTTGGACTCAGTTTTTATTTTTTCTTGATTAAATCCCACATTTAATTAGTTATCCAGAATATACATGTACAAGGATTTTCACAATTTAAAAAATTAATACCAGAGGCCAAGCATAAGATTTTTTATATTTATGCTTCACTTCTCTCTAAATCTATTACATGCCTTAGTTTACAGATTTCTATTTAATGTTACTCCAAACACTTGTTGTACCTTGAAGGCATCAGCATCTAAAGCAGACAGCATTTGGACCAAAGTGAGGAGGACGCATTGTACATTCCTGCCCCAATTCAATTCTTCACCAGTAGGACTGGAATTGAAAGGAGAGCTTTGAACAGAGCCCTTACCCACTAACAGCACTGCTCTTACAGATAAAAAGAACAGATAAATGTACAGAATGAAGGCCACATTTGAGCAGAGACAGGTGGTACTAAGGTCAGCTCAAGTGTGTTGCAATATAAGGCACAACTCCTTGACTCCAATAAAGGGGCAGGTATCAGGAACAGGAGAAACAAGTGTTCTCCAATGCCCCTTGCACCCACATTACTTCTATTATCATGTAAAACTTGAGTGGAAATCTGGAGCCTTGAGACAAGGCCAGACTAAGACATGAATGCTCTGGGATGTGGGATTAATTAAATTAAAAGCCATGGTAGGGTTATCAATCAGTCAGTGCCACTTGGTATCAAAGAACTCCACGCTGTCTGCCAGGACCTACCTTGTCCCCTGGTACTCTTCACATGGTACCTGACAGGAAGAAACCTAAAACAACTTCCATACACGTCCCTAGTACCTCTCCCTTCCTCTGCCTGTGCCACACAGTTAGTGTAAGGCCTTAAATTTAAAATGCTCTGAGCTTCAGCTGTGTCCTGAAGTGAACAAAGCAGATGCCATTCATGCCTCTCAACACTGTTAGTCCTGATGGCTGTTTTCCCCAGACTCTGATATGGAAAACAAGTTTTGCAGACTTCAAGAACATTCAATTGAGTGCAAATCCCTTCCCCACGGCTACAGTGCTTATCTTAAGAGAAGGAGGGAGATAGCAGCAGTATTTTCTTCTTTTAGAGGGTGACCTGCTGAATGTTGAGGAAGTAAGGCACAGGAAGGTGCCTGGGGTGCTGCCCATATCACTCTATCCTGGATAAATGTGTTTTCAGGGAACTTAAAGGCTGCTACTCTGGAAAGTGTCTTAGGTGAAAAACGTGTACAACAAAGTCCAGGCCTCAGAGAGTTCATCTCATCTTTTCTTAGTCAACAAGTAGCCTGCACAACATAAATGGTGATACTGCTAGCAAGCTAAAATGCTGCTGGGGAATTTTTAACTCCCCCTTCCCTCCCAAATGACTTTTACATCATCAGATGAGTAACCCATATGCTTTATCATTATGATAATCCAATTTCTACTTATACTGTAGGACATTAATCTCCCTGGCCCACTGTATAGCTGCTCATCTTTCTTAATCCGGGGCCTGAAAATTTTAACCAGACTCATCTCACCCTGACCAGTCAACCAGAGCCCACATCTTCCCTTCCCTATATTCACAATATGCACAAGAAAACTATGCAGTCCTTCTTATAAAAGCTGTGGAGGTTTCCTGCTTGGTTTAACGTATGCCTTAGTGCAGTAAATCCAAGAGATTCTCAGTTATGCTGAATCACACACTGTGTTTCTCATTTGTACTTTTAAATTTGCCTTATCCAAAAAATTATGCTACCAAAGGTAACATCACTGGATCAATTATCTTTTAAAAAATGTATGGAAATGTCTATTATGCCTGACAATAGTCAGCATGCATTTGAGTGCATCCAGGTTCATGGAAAGATAAAATATGCCAGATGAAAAATAACTACATACAAAGCCCCATATTCCTGATTTTCCTTAAGAAAAAATAATACATTGGGGATACAGTGACTTGGTTTGGACTTAAGCATCTCCACAAGTTTTTAAAACTCTCTCTGGAATTTATTAAATTTATTATTATAGTCCTTGTAGGTCTAATATAAATAAGGATGTATTTTTAAAACCAGGAATTGCTAAAAAAGCCACGTAAATGATTTGAACTATGAAATACCAAAATTTTGCTGATTAAGGGAAGAAATTCCTCTGTCTAGGTGGCAAAGCTGACTAATTTTTGTGAAAAGGTCTGGATTAAAACATACATGTTATAGATACTTGGCCTGTGTAGCTGAATTGCAGAACCTGGATTTGAGAGGGAAGGGAGGACAACAGGTCCCAAGGAAATCATTGAATGAAAGAGTGAAGGTCAAGAACCAAGAATAAATGAAGGGTGATACAGAGAAACTGTCTCCACAAGGAAGAATTAAAACACTCAAATCAGGTCTGTGCTTTGAACTTCCCTCTAGAGTAATTTGCCTTTCAATCCACTGCAGAAAACCAAAACATAGCTTTTGCAGAAAATCCGTTGTGGTGGTTTTTGGCTGGTGAAGATATATTACTAATTGTAGCCATGATATTTTCTGAAAAATACTTTCCTTAGGATTTTTCCTCCTGAGAAGCTGAGAGACCTCAGGAACAAAATGTAAACATTTATTATCTGCTGCTGTGGAATGCAACAGGTGCATCTGTGATTGGTCTCATGTGGTTGTTTCTAATCAATGGCCAATCACAGTCAGCTGGCTTGGACAGAGAATCCGAGCCACAAGCCTTTGTTGTTCATTCTGTTCTTTTTCTATTCTTAGCTAGCCTTCTGATGAAATCCTTTCTTCTATTCTTTTAGTATAGTTTAAATATAATATATATCATGCAATAATAAATCAAGCCTTCTGAAACATGGAGTCAGATCCTCATCTCTTCCCTTACCCTCAGACTCCTGTGAACACCGTCACAACTACTAACAAAGCATCTTCTTTGACTTTTTCTTAGAAATTCTGTGGTATATGTTACTGAAGTGTGATATGCTTGTATAACACTACCAAACCAGGTATCTGATGTTGCAAAGACACGGAAAGATGTTTGAAGAAATCAGGGTTTACCGTGTGATGCAAATAATTATGAAATGACTTAGCTCTAGTCATAAAGTTTTATTTTTTTTATTTTTATTTATTCCTGCTACTGCAGTTTATGCCTTCCTGTGAGTTTGGTTTCTCGCAATCCCCTAAGGTGCTGCTGAGAAATTAGAAGATGACTATGCCTTAGTGCAGTGCAACGTCTCACTGTTGGGTTGTGTCTGAGGGGGAGATGAGTAAGATAAAAAGGATAAGTAACGAAGTACTCTATGTTGCAGTAGAACCTGTTGCTGTAGACATTTGTAAAAAGAGTGCCAGAGAAGCAGGGCTCTCACCTCTTAGCCTGCATTGCCGTGGGGTAGTACCGGGAGCAGGCGATGCCGTCCCAGGCGCAGTAGGGATCCCGCGCCAGGCAGCAGTCGGCGCAGGCCGTGCCGTACATGTCGCACTGGTGGAACTTCACCTGGGCTACGAGCGCCTCGGATCCCACGTAGAGCTGTTGCTGCAAAAAAATGCACCACACAGGGTTCCTAGAATGTCCGCTAAAACTTCTCTTGCCAAAGCAGAAATTGTTAAATTAATTGCTGCTTGTTGTGCTTCCAGCCTGTGACCTGAGGGAGGCAGAGTTACTCTGTAGGAAAATATCTGATTACAGATTAAACACTCCTACTGAGGACAGAGAAACAGAAAGAAGGCAAAATGAACAAGTTTATTTTGGCATTTCCTCGCTTCTGAAGTTTCAGCTTTGTGTTTGAATAGGCAAGGGTTTATGTCTTTTTTTCAAGATATTTTCCAATGCCTCCTCTTTACACTTGTCACCTAACTAATCTGCAAAAAAACCCAGCTTGACACAAAAGACTTTAAACAAAAAGTTCAAATATGCAAAGGTTACAAGCAAACTCAATTTTAAAATGGGAGTTTTCAAGTAAATTTAACTCTTGATGTAGCTATTTAGAATATGCTCACATATTTACATGCACAGTTGTGCTATGATTTGTATAATACCTTAGTGCACAGAAAAAAGATGATAGATAGATAGACAGATAGATAGATACATACATACATAGACAGATAGTTATTTAATTGTTTTCCTGTTGCTGTGAAATCTTTCCTTAAAAATTACCTGGTCACTATCTACTTCTTTAGTATTTATTTGCAAGGTTTGGGTGGGAAGTTTTTCAGCATTAGCATTCATTGTTTGAATCTTTTGAGCTCACATAGATGTCCTTTTCAAATCAAATAACAGATAATCAATTTAATTCTTCAGATGCTAGCACAATAAATCCAGAAGAGAATAGCTTGAATTGAAAGGAATTTGAGAAAAAGTCTTGCTGCTGATGAGTGCAAATTTTCTGAACACAGAAATATGCATTGTGCACTGCAATAGAAACTGCTTATGCACAGCTCACTTCCACAGTTTTACCAGTCAGAAAAAGGATTCCTAAGTTGTGCTCATCCTAGTGGCCAAATTTAGTCCATAATTCCTACTCTTTGATCAAGCTGTCCAAATCTGGTATTTTAAAGTTACTTAAAGCTGGAAAATACTGACATCTTATTTAGTCTATCACAAAACATAAATTTTAATCTGGATAGTCTGTTCTTTTTCCTTATTATACTTCTTATATCTCTTTAGATCATAGAAATCAAACTTTGAGAGATGCCAGGGGAATAAACTAGGAGAGGCTGGTAACAGCAATGTTTGAAGACTTTTTCTGGTGAGATAAACCAGATGATAGTAGCAGGAGCTCAGTCTGCCAACTGGAATGAAGAGAAAACCTAGGATACTTGTCTGAGGGGAATTCTTTGTCTGCAAGTGCTGCAGTGTGACTGTCCCAGAAGACATGAACAACACTTTCAATGAGACATATGAGATGAGATTTGCTCTTTTATCTTTTAGCAGGGGTAAAGACTTCTTTAAGTCTTGGTAAATCACAGAAGGAAAAAGAAGCATCTGATATCTAGCCAAGTGAACATCAAAGAACATTCTTTCTCAGTTTCTGCAGATAACAAGCTCAGCCCTGAAATGTGATATTTTACTGTACCATGACTTGGTGAAGACTGGTCATTGTTATAAGGATATGGAGACATAGGTAGCAAGGAGATCTCCACAGGCTCAGTAACTCCAAGTTCAAAAGAGATCAGCAAAAATGCTGGAGGTACAAAGTTTTTATTTTCATGTATGCTTAACTATGTTATATTCCTGCTGATTTTAAAGACAAAATTATTTGGTGCCTACTATGACCCTAACACATATTCCAACATTTAATTGTCCTCAGTGTCAGAAACCTATATCCTATTTAGAGAATAAATTTATCTACATTCATCAAGCCGATCTTGGGTTTTTAATCTGATATTGCTTTGCCATCAATGTTTAAGAATCCTCATACACACAGTAGGAAGTTACTTCACACAGTAAAACATATACATGACTCTCCTGTTCTCTCTCAGTCTTCTTTTTGATCTCTTAAAAAGTAAAGCTATTTTTACTTCTCATAAGAAGATTTTTCCTCAACTACTGGGTTGCTCTGGTGCCTTTTTTGCAGATCTGACCAGATTTTCCAGATCTGCCTTGAATTAGTAGAGTTAGCATATCTCTTGGGAGATGAATATAATGGATGAATGCTACTTCATATTTTATATCTGTTTTATTCTTCCAACACAACCCTTTAACCACAACAATTCATTGAGAGTTAAAGGTAAGGCAAACATCTGAAAAGACACCAAGTCTTTCTCCAAATAATCACTTAGGTGCAGTACTGGATAATCTGGTCTCCAGAGCTTCTTTCACAGTCTGTGGGAAAAGATTGAGGCAGGAAATAATTCAAAATACTTCGACCCAAATCCTTCTCTGAATTACCATCACAGGACTTTGACTTTCTGCATAGCATACAGGAAGAATGCAAGTTGATTAGACACCAAGACTCAAATAACCCTTTGGGACACAGTCCCACCTCCTAATAAAGCAGTTTTCATCCTTGTTACTCGTGTTTCACTGTGTTTATGTGCACCTACATTGCACTGGATGTCTAACATCACTGTTGGACATGCTCAACATTAAGATATAACTATCCTTGGATGTTTATAATGGCTTCATGTTGAGATGATATGATGATATGATATGATATGATATATGATATATGATATGATATATGATATGATATGATATATGATATGATATATGATATGATATGATATGATATGATATGATATGGAAGAGAATCTGCCCACAAGAGTAATAAATTGGGTGTTTTTATCAGCAGAAATTTTCAGAAACTCAAAAAGAACTCAGATTCAAACGGCCCTACAGTGCAACTGAATATGTGGGAGAGCCAGCAAGGCTTTTTTTGCTGATATCCCCATGGGGCTGAAGTCTGTCTGCATTTATCAACAACGAACTTTTCTGTGAATTGCCATATCCACCAAGCTAATCCCTACTGTGATTAGTACGACAGTAATTTATGAAACAAGTTTTTACTTGCTTTGATATTTATGGCATTGTGAACTGAGGATATTTACCACTAGAATTGAAAAACATAAATACATGATAAAGGAACAGAGCATAAGTTTATATTACAGAACAATTGCATGTATCCAACCAGATTTCATTATAGATGATGTACATTTGTCCATCTATCCATGCACCCAGCTCTGTGCACTCTACAGCTTCATTACATTTGAGTCACAATCATCATATTTCACACTTGCAAAATACTTACCCTTTTTGAAGAGATTTCCATAGAAATAATAGGAACTGGCATCTAAAAAAATAGGAAATATTTGTTGGCTTAGAAAAAAAAAATATATTTTTGCTATGAAAATAAATCAGGTAAAATAATATTGGTATTTACTTATTACATTCAGCTTTGCTAGATACTTTGACTTTCTTTAAGAAAAATGTGAGGAAATTGTGACTTTCAGAAGTATTGCTTTAAAACACTTTATTTGGAAACAAGCAGCCAACACTTAATTCAGGATTATCAGAGCTACAGGAACACTACAATTTCCCTGTCAAACATGACATTAGCTCTTGTCACCACTGAATGTCTTTTGTCCTGCTTGAGAGTGATAAGTGGAGTGTTCTTTATAACAAAACATTCATTGAAGATAAGACGAAAATAGCAGGAATTCCTTCTTTTACCATTGTCCTCTCTGCCCTCTGCTCAGATTTCTTGGAGCAATGCACAGCCCCTCATAGTTCTATTGAAAACTAGCTTTATCAAGAAGGGCAAATTCTCTGATTTTCTCTACAGGCAACAATAAATAATCATTATATATTGTATTTATAATTAAAAAATTAGTTGCAAAATTCAGATACCAGATTTAAATGTCCAACTTTTGATATTAGGTTCTCCCTACAGCTTGAAGCAGGTTAGCCTCCTGATTTATTTGGCTAACGTGATGTGATGATACTCACTGAGAGAATTTCATTATGTTAGCTTTGTCACATGCCAAAAACTGAGCTTTAGTCACAGGTTCTTCTTTAGCAGAATGGAGTTCTGCCTCACGAGGACCCATGTTTGCCCACTGTAGAGACAGGTTAACTCATTCAATATTTCCGAGTGGACTTTTTCTATCTGGATGTCATTTAAGGTTCCAAGATTGTAGCAGGCACATTTTTATGTGTGCAATTATACTTTTTTAATTAATTAATTGGATACAAGGGAAAATTAAACAAAATTAAGTAAGTTTTTAATTAAAAGTTGCACTCCAATGTCCAAGCACACAAATATAAAGGCAGCAGTTGTGATTTGCTTCAACATGCTTTGGTACTTGGGACATTAGAAAAACTTCATTTGAAAATGAAGGTTTCCTGTCACAAAATTGCAAGATAATTAGAAAATTTCTTGCACATGGGTATTATACATTTGACTATCCTCAGATTTGTTTGACATTTTATTTCTGCAGAAAATTCAAGACTTTTGTATATACTTCATATACAACACAGTTCACCTTGAATACTTGCAGCTCTTCAAGAATCACTTCTTCCATTGATTCTGTCTCTTGATTGTAAATTGTTATGACTTTCAGCACAATACCATTATCTGCACACAAATTTAAAACAAAACAAAACAAAAGTAAAGGTTATGATTGGTTGAAACATTTATATGGCCTTCAAATACCTGAAATGACTTCTTCAAATTGATAATGGATTGAAATTTATAAATGTGAAAATTTAGTTGCATTGTGCTGTCATTAATGAGGATTCTTACTCTTAGAAAATGAAATATATGACAATTTGTACCTGGCAAATAAGAGTCACTTTAGACTCTTGAAAGATACATAATTAATTGTATTTTTCAAACATTGGGTCATAACTCATTGTGAATAGCAAAAGGATCACAACCATATTTCAGAAAAAGAAATGGGAGTAGTTGGAAGCCTAGTGCATTGAGGCAAGCAAGCGTAAAATAGCTTTAATTATAGGATCTGAGCATTTACACTAGATAGCAAACTACTAATATGCTTAATTGCTAACAGCAGCTCCATTTCCCCAAGCAAAAGTATAAAAACTTTCAGGGGCTCATTGTGCACAATTCTTACCCTTCTCTAAGGAAACACTGAGCTGCTGTTGAGCTGAAGGTGTAGTCAAAGGGAGATTAATCAAAATATAGGATGCACACTCAAAAAGACACATTGGACTTAGGTTTATCAACCTCTCTGTCTCTGCAACTCTTGCAGGAAAGTAAAACATACAAATAACATCTGGTCTTCCACCACTCTGGTTTTGCGTTGCTGGCTGTTTATAAAAAAGCCTTCGTGTCCTTAATCTGAAAATCTGTCATCAACAATGGCAAATATCACTTCTTTTCTTCTGTTATTTTCAGTCACCTTTGATTTACAGGGGACATATTAAGCAGGGAAGCACTGGGGAAAATGTTCAGCAAAAGATCAAAGGGTGAAACAAAAAGAGGAACCATTAAACTGGGGTCATACACCATTTTTCAAAGAGACTATGTAATCAAAGGCAACCATTTTGTAGTAGAACAGTGAAAAGAATTTGTATTCTGAGCTGTGATTTTCATAACTAACTCCCTCTTCAAATCCTGCTGACAGACAAGTGAAAGCTCTGATGTTCAGACTTTGCCTTTGATGAACCTTTCTAACCTGCACTGCTACCCTAAGGAAACTTGCTCAGCTCTAAGATGCTGCTGACTTATGTTACACAGCAGGTGTTGGACTGGGATTAAAAATATATATATATATCAACCCTTTCTAATATTATATTGCCCAAATAAGCATTGAGTTTTCTGATGGGAGTTTTGCCGAAGTAGTGATTGCAGGTTTCATTTCAGAGCTTCTAAAACCCAAATTCTTTTGCTGGAATTTCTTGTCACCTGAGATCAGACAGCCTGAGAACACCAGGCAGCTGTTGGGGGCCAATCCAGCACAGGTCTAAAGCACACACTTAAACCACTTTGGATTCAACTTTGCTGAACAAAAGAGTTGTGCACAAGAATATTTGTTGCAGTCACAATTAAAAATGCAAGAAGAAAATATAAAGGATGTAGGACCCGCTGTAAAATCTGCTGTACAGAAATCAGTGACACATAATACAATATTTTACAGACCATGGTTAAGTCCTTTACCAAGACTGTTCCAAGGCTATTTAAAATCTTAGAAAACAGCACTAATATAAATAGGGCTTTGCTATTCTATTAACATGATTTTTTTTTAATGTTCTCAACACTGAAATGTACTTATCAGAGGAATTTCATTAGTAAAAAATAATTCACTGGAACTGCTTTCCTATACAAAATGGTCAAAATGATTTGTGATACCACTCCTGTTGTTAAATTGATTAAATGTGAATGTAAGAATCCTTGGTTTTTTTCCAGGCAGATTGGATGTGACTTAAGTCTTGTGTAGTTCCAGCCTTTCCTTTTGTTTTCTTACGTTTTTCTATTTTTCAAATACCATTACGGTTTTTTTTTCCTCTGCTTTCTTAGACTTGTTGCAGCTATATGCTATATTTTTCCTTTACTGTGTTTGTTAGGAAGATGCTTAAAATTTCTTGCTAAACAAGCTCTCTATATTTAAAAAAAATGGCACAGAAGAAAGACAAGAAAACTTGGCAGGAAACTTCTGAAAGTTTTGGGTTTTTTGAAATTGGGCATTTCCTCCTTCCTTCCTTCATCTGTGTTGAAACTCAAATCTGGAAGCTGGCAGGTTTCTTTAATGGTATCAGCTAGATACCATTGTTTTCTCCAGAACTGAAAGAAACTGTGGAATAAAGCCAATAACTTGAACAGATATTTTTGGAAATCATATCACCTTTGTTTCTCTCAGGTCTCCAAGTCTCAGCTTAGATACCTGACAGTGTTCTGAAATTTAAAAACTAAGGCTGGTTTTTCTGCAAATTTTTAATATTCTTTTTTGCAAAGAAAAGAAATTAAAATGGAATCCTATACTTCTTTCTCTTGCTAGTTTTTAAATAGTTCCGTACCATTACTTTCCTATATGTTAGCATCACAGTGAAGCACATGTCTGGAATGAATAACATCCTCTGTAAGGTGAAGACATGAAAACAAAAGTTGATAAAAATAAATGTTGTATTGATTTGCTTCATCCTGCAGAAAAAAGACAAAACAAAACAAAACAAAAAAAGAAAAGAAACAAACAAAAAAACCCTTGCAAAATCATAAATGTAAAAATTCTTTCTTGCTTTCTTTATTTACCTGTTCCAATGAACAAAACATCATATTGGCCATCTTCAGCTTCCACTCTGTCCACTGCTATTTGTTTAAGATTGTACTTTCCATCTGTTTTAACTAGTATTGGTCTCTTATGAACAGGCCTGATGGGCTGATACATCAGTGGATGACTCCTGGCAAAATGCACAGCTTCATCAGGATAGTCTTTAGTGGTGGTGTACAGCCCGCCGTTTACCTTGCTGGCACACTGCAAAAACACAGAACACAGATTATCCTGAAGGTCTGCCCAAGAAATTGCCAGAAATGGGGCTTGTTTTCAGGGATAAATGTAAGTCTGCTGAAAACCAAGCCCAGAAGACCACAGCAGGAATTAGGACAGCGAACCCTGTACTTTATGCAAGCATGGATTATTAATCATGAGAAGAAAGGAAATGCTGAACAGTGCCTTGGCATTGTCATGTTTAGGAAGCAGGAGTTCATCCCTCTTGGGCATACTAAGACAGAATAAAGGATAACACTTTCAGATTTTGACAAAAACCATAGGGCTTATTTCTTCCCCAAACTCATATTTTGATGTAATCAAAAGGGCCATGGACAGAGTAAGAAGAAAGGGCTTTTCTATGCCAGTAAAGAAACAGCAAAGTCAGCAGAACACTAATGCTTGAAATCAATCTCTAGTTTTATTATTTTTTGATTGCAAAACGTATTACCATAAGAAACTAAACACACTTGAAAATTATGCCAATAGTAATTCTTGATTTCAGGCATTCTAATAGCATTATGTTTTATTCTGATTCCTGACTCTTGATGACAGTATTATATATCACAGTTTAGCTTCAAATACCAATGTTTGCACTGATCAATCTACCATTTTGTAAAGCAAATAAACTTTATATCAATGACTGATTAAAAGAGGCTTACTCCTTCAGTTAAATATGCAATTAGAGATAATTTACTGCATTAAAGAGAGAAGTTAATTTTAGGATGCTTTGTGAACGAGATAGTGTTTCCCAACTGAACATAGATCCTACACTTCCAATTTGCTTCATGATGTCTAATTGAAACCATTTATGATCAAGCTGGAAATATCTCAGTAACCATTTACTTTCTCTAAATATTCATAAGACAGTGTGGTTTTAAGATGTATTTCAAGCAAAGCCACAGTAGCAGCCTTTCTCTATTTAAATTGGATTTTTCAATCAATAAAATGAAATACAATTCTCCTTAAGTTTACTGGAAACAGTAATTTTAAACTTGTGGTCAGCTGTGATCGACAATAACAAACTCCTGCACTTGTCAAGCATGGGCAATGTTTATTTACACTTTTTTGGGTTTAGCTACAGGAATGTATTTTTTCACTGTTGACTTAAAAGTAATTGTCTAATCAACCTAGTAATGGAATTTTACTGGCTGTTTGCAATAAAGAGACAGAGCTGGAGCACGAAGACAGGCGGAGCCTGTGCAGCATATCAAGTGAATAGGCATTGCCAGGTTCCCTTTGTAAAGTTCTAAACACAGCCTAAATGAACTAAAAAAAATCCAAGAGAGACTACAGCAGAGGATTGTGGAGCCTGTCAGAACCTGTGTGACTCTTAACAGTGGCTCTCTGTTTATTTAGTTTTAAGCTCTCTCATTCCCCATAGACTTCTTCTTTACTCATTTAATACCTAAGATCAATGAGTGCTGACTTTCAGAGACACCCATTAGTAGTTATTTTTTGCCTCTTGTGACTGTCAGTCCTCTAATAGGAAAGGTAGTGGGATTTAATTTACCAACATGCTGCACATTGTTTGGAGTGTGAAGCCTAACATTTGGCTACAGCCTGCTACACAATTTCCCTTCATGCTAAACATTGAAAAAGACCTCTAAACTGCCCTAAATGAGTAGCTAAAAATGAATCAATTAATGCTCTGTTACCTGGCAGAGCCATCTACTTCAGCCTCTGATGGGCTCTGCAACATATAAAGAAATCCACAATTAAATCTATTAGCACACAGGAGAGACTTACTTCCTCAGCTAATTTTTTCCCTGATATTGGGAAATTACTTGCACTCTTCTGCTCCTTTTTCTGTTCCTATGCCTTGCCTTTTTGGGGAGGTGACACTCTAGTCTGACCCAAACACTGCCATGGAAGAGAAGCATTGGAAGCAAATGGAACTCAGGGCAGCCTTCCTATAAATCATTGTCAACCTTGCTGAAGTGCTGGCTCTGAGTTCTCTCCTTCTTGCCAAAAACACACCATTTAATCTTCAGAGCTGGGAGATATCAATGCAATAACTGCAGTCATTAACACTGAATTCATGCCTGTGTTTAATGCTAGTCCAAATAACATATGTGAGGTGTTCTACTGCCCAGAAAAAAATGAATACCACTTAAAGAACTTGGATTGTATCACCTTTGCAAAATATACAGCTATTCTGCAATCCATGCACAGTACAGTCTCATTATTTGGTAAAACTGCAAAACCCATACATTTGCTATACAAAATATCAAATAGGAAACCAATAATTCCTGTGAATTCAACCATTTTTCCTAAAACCTGATAATTTATTTACCTGTTTTTCTATCCTGACTCAACACTAATGACTTCAATTGATGTCAAACAAACAAAAAAATATTTGGTATTGATGCCAGCACTGATACTGTGGTAGCTCATTGGCCAAGATGGTGAGATCATATTCATAATGTTTAAATCCTAGATAATCTCTTTTTTGGAGTATCTGCTTCTAAATTTTGACTTATGTCTATAACTCCAAGCTAAGTAGAGAAAAATATTAATTTTAAATTATTAATTTAAAATAAGAAATGGGATGCATTTGAAATCATACAAGAGGGAGAAAGGTATTACTGCAATCGAGCAGACAAGATAATAGGCCTCTCCAACTCTCATTCATGAGATTCCGTGATAAATTAATTGTATGTTACTTATGCTTACTTACTTATGCTTACTTAAGCTTGTATATTACTTACAATGCTTATGGAAATGACTTTTAGTATAAAAGGGAATATTGATTCAGTTAGCAAAGGGAAAACAGCACTGAAGGGAATGTCCAGCAACTCTTTATTACACCTTTAAGTTCAAGAGAGTGACCCCCAAAGCCTGAGAGGAGATTAATGAGCAAAGTGTGAAAATGGGGGGGTGGATTTAAGAGCTATTAGAAATGTCTTTGCTCAGAGTTAGAAATCTGCCCAATGCTGACATGACAAGGGGCAGACCTTCATGAGTGTAAACAAAAGCAGCTTTGCAGCACATGACAATCTCCATGGTGGGTAGGTAGCTGTAATCCCAAAAGGATTAAAAGGATTAAAAGGGTAAAAAAGAAATGCTGGATGCTGTGCTTCCCTGAGTTAGACTGGCATTGCCTGCCCCTCCTGGAGGCTGTGCCTGCCCTGAGAGATGGGGACAGGCCCTGCAATGCAAAGGGCACCTTTGACCCTCCTCACCCTTGAGTGGGGATGTCAGCACCTGGCACAGAAACTGCAGAAACACCTAAACAGACACTGAAACAGGAAAAGGGCTTGAGGTAGTGAGTACTTGTGACATCCTTGAGGAAACAACATGGCAATTCCTTGTAGAAGTTAATTATTTGTCTCTTAAGTCATGAGTTTGTGATTTCCTCCAGAAATCTAAGTACCAGACAGGAACAGCTCCATACATGACAGCACCTCTATAGCTGCTTGCTACAGTAATTCCCATTTAATTGCATTCTCAAAATACATCTTGTTCCTTCCCTTCAGTTAATAACCATTGAAAAAAAATGCTTACAAAGAGACTTGTGTGAAAATTAACAAAAAATATGAGTGATTTTTATGAGGCTTTTTTTTTTTTCCAGCATTGTTTTAATATTTTTACATTCTTTGTAAATGGTAAAGAGCAAGAATGTAGATAAGCTCAGGAACCTGACTGAAGGGTAGAAAAATCTCACTCTGTGATGTCTGAAAGGAAATCAATGAACTGTGAGGGTGTCAGTCCATTGCTTCCAGAAAGAACCAATCTTGAGCAAAGGACTTTGAATAATGGAGAATTTGCTCCTTAGCTACAAATGCATTTATTCTGATTAGTCAGTTTTATTAAAATATGTCTGATTTCTTACCTGCTCATTGATCTAAATTACAGAAGTATTTAAATTTGATCCTTTTGGAAAATGAGGTGGAAAAAAGGAACGAGAACCTCCTGAAAACTATTGAAATACTGAAACTATTGAAATAGTGGATTCTCTTGGGGGGGGAGGTTTGTTGTTGTTGTTGTATTTTTGTTTTTTTCCTTCCTTTAAAACTTGCTAAATGTCCTGGTTTTAACACTTTAGAGAAAGAAAGAGAGGTTCCTTCACATGTAATGCACTTAATGTTTCTGAATGAAACTGAATACATCAGATCTGCCTCTTTCTATCCCTTTTTTCTGGGGTCGTAATTTTGGGATCTTGGGACCTTTACACAATGTTAATAAAATCATGTCCCAACAGGATTTTGAAAAACCTTATATATGTAATCCCACTATTTTCCTTTGGAAAAAGTACGGTTCTAGTACTTGATTAAACCTATTGCTGAGCCATTCCACACTTTTCCAAGAATAGCTGGAGTATATAGATATTCAATAAATATCCTGGATTTGAACATTAGCAGCAGTCTGCTTTTTCACTCCACAATCATTTACATAGCAAAGCAGTGGAAAATAGACTGTACTTACTGAACCAGGTCTAGGGTAAGGTACTTTTCTTTCATAGAGAGCCCAGTGGTATTCAGGTCCTTCTTTATGAGCATATGGTCCATTGAAAGCTGCTCGGACACTTGCCATGTGGTAAACACAAATAGCATATCCTCTGAATATATTGCTGTGAAGGAAAATTTAAAGACATCATTAAAGCCATATGTCACATTATGTACAGATAATAGTGGCATTGTTATGTAATTAAAAATGAGTCACATTTCAGCAGCGTTCAGGGAGAAAACACTTATTCTTTCCTATATGCTTTTCTACTAAATACTGCATCCAATGTGCTTCAAAAGTCTTTTATTTATTTGTATTCATAACAGTTCTCCAAGGAAGCTCTCTGTTGTTATGCCAAAATTTGATGCTAGTGTACACAAACTCTAAATTGCTTGTTTAGAAACACAGAAAGCAAAACACAGTGAACTCAGGTCCTGTATATTTTTGATTAGTGACTTAAACAGTTTAAGATTTTAACATTTTCCTACTATTTTTTTTTTGCTTGGAAAGATGGGAAACAACCAATGCTGACTAAAATAAGCAGTCCTAAAATGAGTCCTTTTTGTATTGAGTGGGAATGTTGGTTGGTATCATTAGTTAGATCAGATCACTTTATGTAGAACAATCCAGATAAAAGTTTTTATTTTATTTTTAAATGTTATTTTGTTCCATAAGAATATTTTTTTTAGTTTTTGGGGATTTGTTGTTTTTTGGTTGCCTTTTTTTTTTTTTTTTTAAGAAGCATGAGTGCTCTCTACAAAGAAATCATTTCTGAGGACTGCAGAAGACAATCCAGAAAATTTCAATTTGGTGCCCAACTTTCTCTATTGGCATCAAGAGCCATGAGGAAATGCCAGGTGTTTGCAACCCTAGAGGAGCAGATCTGCCTTTTGTTAGTAAAAAAAATCAGGAGAAAGTGGCAAAAGCATAGGTGCTGTTTTCTACCAGTTACTCCTAAACTAACAGTCAGATTTCCAAGCTGAGAGTACTGTGTGCTTGCACCTGAGCTGGGCTGCAGTGGAAAAGGAAAAGGAGGCCACCAGTAAATTGCAGCTGCTGCTTTAGGCTTAACTAAGAAGTTCATAGGAATTTCAGCTGCTATCTACTTAACCTTGAATTACAGTGGAGCTCTTAAAGGGAGACAGGTGGCTCTGGGATGCTGTTCTTATAAGCATGCAGATGTGCATTGACTTTGACATAGGAAATTGTCAAGCTGAGAAACACTTAATTAATTTGTGATCCAGATATACTGAATCACAGAATGAGACTGCAAGCCCCTGGGTGTTATAGAGAAGTTTTTACATTAACAAGGAAACCTGCTGTGAGTAGAACTGAGATAAAAATGCTACTATATAGTTGCTAAGGGATATGCATCATCCAGTTTCTAGCTCATTAACAGACTGTTCAAACACTCCTCTATGGCTTTTATTATTTCTTCTAGTTGTTTACCTTGTGGTGTTGAAGAGGCCAAATATCACTGGATTTTTGTTATCACGAGTTTGCAGCAAAAACACATCCTCTGTAAAATTTAAATGCAACATTATTGTTAAAAACCTGCTTTTCTCAGCCTGCCAAAAGAAAATTCATTAATTCTTGGAAGCATAATAATATTTTACTCATTTATTCAATTTAATTTTATGCAGACTTTAATCTTTTAAAAACAATGCAGTACATAAAGGAGTAACTGGTGATAGTGAACTCCATATGTGTAGAACTTTATATACATTGGAAACAACACTAACCACCATTCCCTGATAATGAATCCAAGTGCAATATTTGACAGTAAAATGTGTTATGATGAAGGTATTTTTTTTCCATTATTTCTAGCTGTTTACTGTCTAGGATATTTACCTAATTCATCAAAATGTGTATCAATTCCATTTTTCCCAGGCACAGAGCAAACTAGTCTGGTTTTGAGGAAAGTGGTCCATTTATTGACGAGCACTCGCTGGCCTCCCATGTCATTCTGTGCAGAGAGAAACAAATGCCAGTGGTAATATGAATGAGTAAGCCTAGAAGCACAAACATCTCTGATGAATTAGCTGCTCATTATATTTTCTAATGTCAAAAGCATCCATTTTGAAACCACATGTCCATTACTAGACTTATTTCTCTGGAGTCAGTTTTCAAGTAGGATTGCACTGATCAAGTCCAGGTCTCATTAAGATCTGTGGTTTCATAAGAATTTTTTAATTCTGCACCACATCCTTGGATTGTTTTAGCTATACAGTTGTTGCAAAGCTTTTTTTAATTGCTCACTTTTGCAAACTAGATATACTGAGTACATTACTGAAGTTTAGCTTTGCTTTAAGAGCTCATTTCAATGTATCTGGAAACTGAAGCCCTGAATATATCTTTAGACCTGCTATTTACATGGTTTTCTAACAATTTCACCAACTTTAAATAACACCTGCCTTGCTACAGCTGCCTCACCTTTTTCTTGCTCTTGCAACTGTTGGGACTTTCAAGAAAAGGGAACATTTAGCACTACTTGCTTTAGTATGCATCCTCAATCTGTGGTCTTAAATTCAAGACCTGTGTGACTGGTTGTTGAAGGCTCTGCAACAGGCTTGCAAAACTCCTCATGCAAACAGAGATCTGTTTTCCTTAGTAAAGTAGAAATATGCAGAGTACATGCCTCTGTGTTACAAAACCTGTTACTTCTCAGATGAAAATGTAAAATCGGGGGGAAAAAGCTAGTTCTTGAATCACCAGCTCGGTGTTTTTGTATTCACTAAATCAAATCTGAATTATGACATACAGCTGTGAAGTTAATGGCCAGATACGTTTTGGAGAAGTGGAAGAGAAAGGTCAGTGGGATTCTGGTTTAACCCATAGCTAGAGATAAGACTTCCTGGTGGATATATTGCAGAGTAGGGGAACTATTAAAATAAACTATTCAGGCATATATTCAGAACAGAAGCCAAAGTATTCCAGCTTGGATCTTGATGCAGGCTGGAATCCAGAAATCCAAGTGGCTTTGTGAACATTAATGTTTGAGGCTGCAATTTGGTACTTTGCATACATCAGATGTTTTTAAGTTATACAGGAGTACCTAAGAACGTTTAAAGGGCAGAATGCTGGTGAGCATACATGACAAATTCCACTTATTGAGGTGATAGAAAATAATTAACTTGTATCTTGCTCTTTGCTCAATAGTTTCAGGAATCCTCTGAACTATCCCCTAAACTGCATTCCCTACAGTTAGGAGGGGGAATACAAACTTTTTATAAAATCAAAATCAGGTGTAAAGAAATAACTTTCTCCTTCCTTCCTTTAATCAAGCTGTTGTAGTCCCAGCGGGAAAATGGGAGAGCTCCTCTCATCAGCCTTACAATAGCTGGTTATTAGAAGAGGAAAGCACCCAAAATTCCTCAGTGTTTAGACAGCACCAATATGGGCAGCTGGGAGAGCATTTGTTAACAGTGCTCCTCTCCAGCAGCTGTCCAAGACCTTAGTGCTGTGCGTGGGGCCAGGGAGCCAAAAAGGGATGAGATAACACACCAGGAGGATGGCCTGAGTGGGAAATGGAGTATTGAACAGAGCAGTTCAGGGAAGCAAAATCTTTCCTCATGATCTTTCTGCTCCTGGTAAAACTTAAGTCTGTTTGTGGTAATGATTTGCTGGACTATTCATCATTTGTTCTAGTTTCTTATCTGCACAATCGGAGAAAGGCTCTTACCGCACACACACGTCCCACTCTGGTATATATGGCATGAGTGCTTGTCTCAGCTTCCAAAGCTTTCTCAGTAAAGAAGAAATACACTTTGTTATCATCGTGGTCTTCATTGTCAGGAATCATGTATGAGCCAACAAATTTCGGTTCTTTAAAAAAAAACAAAAAGGGGTTTATTCCAGTAATTAAAATACTGCCTTACTTTTTCAAGCCTTAAAACCAGCCTATAGCAACTCAAAAATAAAACTAGAGGTAAGATCTCTGTCAGTCAGAGAGCAATTGGGTGATAGTAAATAGTAAAATAGTTACTAGTAAATAGTAAAAAAGGAGGGGGTTTAGTAGAATAGATAGATGATTAAGATGTAGATTATTTATTAACCTATTCTACATTTATCAGATGTAGATCTAATAGATGTAGAATAGATTAATGCTGAAGCATTTACATCTTCAATTGACAAATAACATTCCTTTGTATTTTTTGCCAAAGATGGTTTTCCAGTCCCATTCTCTGTGTTTTACACACTTTAATTTGAACCAGGCTAAAACTAGGCTAATATTTACATAGCAAATATTATCTGGTCCCATGCCGACCAGAAATGGCCCAGCCATCTGGAGCACCCCTGGTTTCAGGTCCCTCTGCCCCCAGACCTTTGAGCAGGCGCTCGTTGTCAGGCTCGGTGCGGAGATGCGCCACGCGGTTCACGGAGCGGAACACGGCCGCGTCTCTCCCCCAGTAGTCGCTGTAGAGACCAGTAAAAAGTTCACCACCTGCAGACCAGACATTCAAATAAAAACCTTAAATGAAACAATTTGGCAATAGTCTGCATATTAATTTCATTGCACGTTGTAGGAACTGCATTATAAATACGGTATGCGCTAATTATTAGGCTGAGAGGTTTTCCAGTCAGCCTACTGGAGCTGTTCCACTTCACCTGGAATAATTACAGTTTGGGAATAACTTGCTGGCTGGGGGGATTCTATGTTCAGTGGACACAAAAAAAGGCACTATTTTTCTCTGGTCCAGCAATAACTTGTTTTCCCAGCATTGAAATATTTACCAGCACAAGGACAGAACACGAGATTTCATCCATCCTCCTCAACTGGTGATTAATAGTTCTTGAAAAATTTATGAAGGGAGAAACTGGGTCTCATTTTCAAAGGATTTAGATGGTGTTCGCAAATTAGAAGTCATCAGAAAATTTAGAAATAATACACTGAATGACAGATACTGTAGAAAAATAAATATGTATATAGGTACAATTTAATATGTTCAAAAATCAAGCCCGCCTCCAAGCCCTTTTAAATTGTGATATTGGATATATTTTACCTTGGGAAAATGCCATCCATACTTCTACCTTTCAGTATTGCATGGAAAATATTCCCCTTAACTGACTAAGCATTAACAATAACTTTTTTCATATCCTTGTGGATTTGGATTACAAATTTTTTATCCCCAATTTAAGAAGCAGACAGCTTCAGCAAGCATTTGTCACTAGGTGGCAACCTTATACTAGAAAATAACACAAAAGGAATTAAACTGCACAAGGCGAGGAAAATAAATGATTTCCAGTTGAAGGCTAATCTGAGTGGAGGCTTCAGTGACACAGCTTCCTGCACCCTAATCCAAATAACCATGACTGATACATCCAAATAACGTTTGCTGGCACTTACAAAAGATTATAGAAGAAAGCAAGAATTTTGTTTGCAGGTCTCCCGCCAAGTGTGAATTTTGTTTCTCTTAAGAGAGACACATGAATTGAATGGTGGTATCATTGTGAATGATCATTCTGAAAAGTTAATATTTTGGCAGCTGGGGCTGATTCCAACACCTCAGCTGAGCCAGAGCTGAGCACAGTTTTGCCTTAGGCTTCATCATATACAGAATGGTTATTGCCCTGGAAAATACATGGTTGAGATGTAGTGTAAAATACTGGCAAGTGAAGCAAAAAGTATAAATTATAGCATCTGTAGAAATGAAGGTTGCCCAAAACTAATAGAGAACTTTATTTTTGAAACAGCACAGAATTTCCTAAACTGTAGAATTTGTCAGTGTCTTTATAACTTTATTTGTTTCAAACAATCTTTACATCTTTAATTAGTGAGTCATGTTAGTCATCTATCTCCCTTTGGGAATTCCATTGGAAAAATATATCAGACTGGCTGGTATTCTTTTTAGTTTAGGTGGTGTGTAATGCAAAACAGGACATTTCATCTTTTCAGAAGTATAATGAATCTTGGAAAATGCATCAATGTAGAGTAAATGATTCATCACATATTGCCAATGATCAGGATTGACATCTGTGAGTCCAGATGTTCCTAAGTTGAATATGAAGTCTATTCCTTCTGTTTGACATAGGTATAAAATGTTATAAATAACTAACCTGCTGGTATGGCATTCTAGTGTATACTGAAGAAGTTATGACTGATTGTATCTGTGACATCCTGAGGGGAGAAAATGGAAGTCCCAGTCCTGGAGAGATATTGTTCCATATTTTACAGATACAGAAATGAAATCTGATTTTTACCTTGATCTGTTACTAAACGAAATACAAGTGTCATGTGTGAGCAGACAGGGCACTTAACCTAAGAACAACAATGGGACAGTACTGACAAATGTGACTGTCAAATACCTCAGCACAAAAACATTCAGCATAATGCTGAATAATATTAATGATTCTGAGATACTTTGCACTTTTGACACTAAGAGGATCTTCTCTTGTCCTTTTCAATACTCTTTTGTATAAATGTAAGTTACAAATTTTGAGCACTGCTAGATTTTTACAGGTGCTAAACAATTCCCGATTTAGAGATAACCTAAGATTGAGGCTTGAAGAATTCTGGAAAGATTTCTACTTTTTTCTCCTCATTTGAAAAACTACTATCACATATGAATTCAATCTTTTCTTGGTTGCAGGGTTTCATATTGCTGCACATCACACTGATTAACCTCCACCTTCCCCTGAAAATCAGCTGAGTAACTTCAGAGAACTTCACTACGCCTCCCCTCTTCCAGTCTAACCTCACCTTCACATAAAATTGCTAAAATTTAAGTTTTTTCAATCACATTAACAGCATGGTTAATCATGTTCTAAAAAGAATAAAAAGTTTCTTCTTTCCTTATTTAAGCAAACAGAAAACTCCCATGGACCTCAAAGACCACTTTTAGCTCAAGTGATGCACACATACTTTTTAGCTAGCATTTTTTCATCTTTTAGCTAGCATCTTTTAAAGCTAACAAATATATCGAAATTTAATGGTGACCATTTTAAAATACCTTCATTTTGCCTTTTATTCAAGGCAAAATATTAACAAATTAAATACAACCTTTTTCTTCTACATCCTTCAAAATTCTTAGGTGACAACCCTAAAGTAAAACAGATTGAACCATTTAAATTAAATTACTCATAGAAAATATTTCTACTATAGAAAAGATTTCTATAACTTGGCTGCTACCACCTTAAAGGTGGCATGGTTTTTGTACCTGCATGAAATTGGAAGGTATAAATGCAAATATAAGCTATTATTCATCAGTGTAAAATACTATTCATTTGTGTAAAATGGAAAATTTATTTTATGAATAAAGCATTAGAATGTGTAGATGTAATGAGTAGAACACAAACTGCACCCTTCATGCATTTCTTTGACTGTCAATCAATTATTACTCACATGATGAATAAAATCAGAAGACTAATTCACATTTTAGAAAAATTAGACTTTTGGCAGTATGAAAACAGAAAATTAAAAAAAAAATACCCTATTGTTTAACTGGTAAACTACTACCTCTCTATATTTCTATTTTCAGTCTTTCACTCAAGTATCTTGTCTTTTTTTTTTGAGAAAAAATGTAATTTTGTCTGGACTAGAAGAAAAGACACAAATACCTAACTTTTAAAACTGTAAAATCAGAAAATACTTTGGGAATGGATACCCTGGATATTAACCTATTCAGAGGTACTTTAGGATTTTCACCACTTGCTTCTGATATATTGCAGGTAAGAATATGTGGACATAAACTAATTTCTCAGCTAGTGTGGTCTAAGTTAATCAGTGTGCAAGATCTGGTATCAAAAATAGTTTTGGCTATTGAAAACAGACGGAGGAGATCATTAGGAATAAAAGTCCAAAAGTTTTATATACCGTTGAGCTAAACATAAACATTTTATTCAGCCTGTCTGCCATCCAATTCCCATTCTGTTTCCTGATGTGGGCAATAAATTAATTGTTCATATATTGAGGAATTCATCACAAGCTACTCCACTAGTGGGTCAGATAACCTACAATAATGCTTACAACAGCACAGAAATTTCATTTTAAAGCCAAGTCACGAACTGTTGTTTTCTTGGAGTGGGTGTTTTAACTCTGCTGTTGAAATACATACAGAGATGGGGAAAAAGGGATTATCTTTCTTCCTAAATTAATCCAGCTAAATATGGTCCTAAATGGTTATGCTGCAAATGATCTTTCAAGATCACGATTTTAAAAGCTTTTAAAACTTTATGAGAGGTATGTAAAGTTTTCTTGTTGGCCTAATCCTCACTATTAATCAATGGCCATGCTGGTGTAGGTGCTGTGTTAATGTGAGGGGCAGAGGTGGGAGCAGGTTTTGAACACTTTCCTTAGGAGGAAGAAGGCGCTGGGGTGGGCTTTGCTGACAGGTTTGTATAAAACCTTTTCATGGATGTGCACATTGGCTGAACCTGCATCAGAGAGTGCAGACAGCTCTGGGCTGCAGCCTCCGAGACCATGCTGACTTCATACCTGGAGCAGATTCCACTCTCTAAGAAAACTGAAGTGAATGAAGAAGAATTAAACCTCCAAGCACTGGAAGAAAGACTGCAAGAACAGTCCTGGAAGGTGCATGGTGCAGTTTGCATCTCCTATCATGGGGTAATGTCCATCATGAGCTGAACCCAGTGCTCATCTGAATGAAGGAGCATCACTTACTTCTCACTGCATTTGGCATTAGAAGTCTTCTCATTCTCAAATGTCAATTAAAAGATTATTATTCACTGTGTTTGCATCTAGGTCTTCCAAACTTTTCAACTGGCTACCTGCAGGACACACATCCTGGAGTCTAAGGTGCAGCATTTTATTCTGTGAGCTGTATGTCTCTGGGTAGTAGAAGTTGGTAGAATAAAATAGAATAAACGGAAATTCATACTTCCTGAAGATATTCTTCCTAAGTGTTGGAAGTGTTTAACTCCAATAGTTAAAAATATGAAACAAATAATACAATGAAATCTTGGAAGAATTTTCTTATGTTTTTAAAATATCATTGCAGGATAACTTGAAATTGTAGAATTTCAGAATGGATAGCAAGAAAACCAGCCTCTAAATACTTTCCTAGTTTTGATGAAGAGGTGAAAGTTAGTCTGTTTTTGGAGTATCAGTGATCTGACAAAAATATTATTTCCTCCAGTTAATCTTGCTACATTCCAGAATTTTTAGCTTTGTCAGATATCTTTGCCAATGGACCTCCAAGACTCTAATCAGATTTTACCATGGAAGGGTAAAGGAATTGTTTTCTCCTTCAGATAAAAATATGACGATCCATAGGACCTTAGGACCTCCCATAATTCAGGCAAACTCTTAAAGCTCAGTGGGACAATCTGTCTTCCATTTAAGCAAATAAAATTCAGATTGATCTCACAGTAGGAACATGATCAGGTTAATTTATTTACTTAGTTCTATCTCAGGAAAGGTTGAGAAGGACTTCAAGATTAGACCGTGAGGTTTCAGGGAATTACAGCAATTCCCTGAGTCTTTGTTCCCAGGCTAAGCTGAGACTGGAATCTGTCAAAAACTGTAGAAACAATTTAGAAATAAGGGTGGGATAAAAGCATGACAATCTGTGCTTCGTGGATTTTGAAGGGTCAGGCAAAATACAATATGTTTTTCTGGTTCTTCTATGACCCAATAACTCTTAAGAATTAGAGGTCTAATTTACTTTTTTCTAATGAAATTAAAGGATATTTTGATGAATTGCTGCAGTGTGAAAGATTTTTCATTACTGTTGGAGATTCTTCTTTTAATTAATTTGTTGATGTAAAGGAACAAATAAACCTAGCATGTAAAAATACAACTGTCACTCATTACCAATATTTCATCACCACCATGGATGAGAAATACCACTGTAATTAATCATCAGAGAATTTAGTTACCTGATTTTAAGATGCACAGACAAATGTAAATATCAAAAAGGCCCTAAAATCCTCTTTTCTATCCCTGAAAAGTAGAACATTTACTTAATCTTTAGCTTCTTTTTCTAGGTCTTTCTTTTAATCTATATGCCTTTTGAATGTTCAGTTTCTGTTCATGTTTTCTAAACCCAGAAATGGTTGTGCTGCTCCCTAACTCCATCTAGCTTTTACCATTTACCTGCTGTTCCAGGCTATTTTTAGTCACTGTACAGTCAGTCAGTAGTGCCAAGACTGTCTTTGCTTCATCTCACAAAATGTTTTAAGAAAACATTTCTTGAGGAAAGCCCATATGGTTTGCTATATCACAGCTCCAAAGATCCCAGTCCTATAGTGCTACACTTCCCAGCAAGGCCCAGAGGAGCACTATCTAAGCACAGCTTCCTGGCAAGGCAGGACTTTGATTGAATTCTATTTTTATATCTTTTGAGCATAAGATCAACTCTTCTAACACAGAATCACCAGTTTGTGATAGTTTTGTTAGAAGAAAGCATTGAAATGAAAAAAAAAGAAAATTAAAAAAATTTTAATTTATATAATCAATAAAGCTTTATATAAAAACAGTTAAATTCACATTTTTACAGGCTGCTTGTTGCTCAGATTAATCTCAGTAGATGAAAACAAAAGCGGTGTAAATGACTAAGCCAGTCGTGCTTCTTTGCTTTTAAGGAAAGCAGGAAATGATTATTTCCATAATTACACAACAATCAATTACCTCCAGGATGGCACATGTCACTCAACATTTCCCTTCAGTGAGCCACCCTTGCTGTGGGTAATGCTGCCTGGAATGCAATATTAATGTGGGCAGCACCACGAGGATTAAGTGTGACATGTGGAGGATTGCAATGGAAGGCTGACAACACTTTGGTGTGCTGGAGAAGGAGACTCAGAGTGACAGACTGACAGCACTGTGAAGCTCGTGACATAAAGATCATTACCAATTAAGATGGAGGTGAAGGAAGAGCTGGGGTCAAAAGGGCACCTGCCTCGTCCTCTCTCGAATTTGTGCGATTCCAGTTGAAACAGATGATCCTTAAATTAAAAACAAACAAAAAAAAAAAAAAGACAGAGAACACCATAAACCCTACAGGCAAAGAAACACAGTCCTTAGTGACAAGCTTTAATTTTGTTATACCTTTGTAGAGGATTGACTTCATTAGGGAGAAAACACAATTATGGTTGCTCACTGATGTACTGGTAAAAATTCTCTGGGTTTCTACAGATCACCTTTGTTGTGCACTGCCCAAAAAGAATCAGAAAGATATGCACTAAAATTGCACTTTTTTCATTTCTGTGGGAGTAGGGAGGAAAGATTCCTCTATCTTTTCTCCAAATTATCTAAACATTAAATAGATATCTCACCATGGAATGTGTTTTCCCCCTTTAAACAATTTTTTTTCCCCAGTAGTTGTTAAATATATCAGACAGTGTTATCTTCTCTTCATAGCTTGGAGATGTTTATATATCTTCTTCATAGAAGTATGTTTAGGAATGAATCCCCAGTTATGGTTTTCAGAGCAGATGTGATTTCTTCAGTGGATTTAACAGAATATCGGTATAAAAAAATATTGGCAACTTGGTTTAAGTTGTCTGTATAAGGCTGTAAAGACTGAGAAATAATTTACAATTTAAATTTTCATTTGCAATGGTACTTTTGTCTCAGCTTTCACAGAACAGCCCATTAATGTCTGATTAAAATATCAAGTGAGAGCACAATATTTTTAATTTAGATATTAACAGAAAAGCATGCCAAAAACAGAGAAAGGGAAAAATAAAAGGGCAAATAGATAGAAAGCTATGAAAGCTTGAAAAAAATATGCCACACAGCCATCAAATGTGTGAAAAGCAAATATTTTGATAATTTAGTAGTTCCAGTTCTGTGTAAAGTTTTGCTCAAAAGTCCGCTGAAATGCAGATCATATCAATATATTGGATAAATGTAACCTACCTGTTCATTAAACTAAATCTCAGGTTCATGTTCCTAATATATGAGGCAAATATTTTGTGAGGCATAACGTTACATGCAACAGGAAACCAAATCCCCCAGAATTTTGAGAAATATTTGCCTCAATCTCTCCCATACAGAACACATTATCAAAAACTTCCAAGGGACTTTTTAGTCATAAAAATCAGGTTTTATTAGACTGGACTTTTCACATATTTATTACACTAACTCAGAATTTGCACAGAAAAAAAATCTTGATAATCTAAAACATAAAAAATTCTCAAGCAAGTGCAATTGCCCCAGAAACTAAATGAATATTCTCTTCAGGTGACTTCATGACAGTTATGCTCTTCTGCATAAAAATCCCAGGCTAAAAAGACAAGGACCAAAGAAGCAGAGGGTGGAAAAATGAGAAATAATAATAGTAATAAAATAATACTTTAAAAGGATAGGAAGCAAAAAGATATTAGGAAAATGAAAAGTTGTAGAGCTCTTAGTTGCCTCTAATTGATAAATAATTGAATCTTTATGTGCATTTAATTTAAAAGAGTCAATCCTAAATTTATCATAAGCCCCTTGACTTCAAAGCGTTATTCACATCTTAATCCCCAGAACACACAAGCTGATGTACCTGTCTTCCATTCTCAACTGTCTAAATCATACACGTCATTTTGCTGCAACTTCTGGTCAAAAAGAAATATTCCCAGTAGTTAGAGAGCTTCTATAAAAATGGGATACAACGCAGAATGCAGTTCTGCAAAAAGAGGACATTTGTTTAATGTGTACTTGCAGTGAAAAAGTAAAATAAAATGAAATAAAATAAAATAAAATAAGGAAAAAATTTGCAAATTTTAGGAAATGGACCTAAAACTCATGAGGTAACCAAGCATTTATAATCTCACCTCTCCAGAAGTTTCTTTTTTGGCCTAGCCTTGGTTGTTAAAGCTGATGTAGCAGAAAATAACTGTCTTGGGTAGAGACTTACGGTGCAGGAATATTGTTTTATGCTGTATCAGCAACAATTTCACATCAGTAGCAACTATTCCCCCTCTGCTGTTGGGTAAATGTCAAACAATGAAGAAATATTTCCCTGTATGTGGAAATCTCAGTGCCATTCCATACTTTTCAAACATCACATACCATGTATTTTTCAAAACTAAATACTGTAACATTTTGAGTCAACAATGGATAAAAAAAGAGTGAGGCGAACTCAGGAAAGAAAAGAAAACCTTTCTGAAATAATGAAAAAGTACGTGGGAGTCATAATGGCATAAAATTTGCTGTAAAGGAAATATTTCTAAAAACCATCTGAAGTTATGTATTCTCTAATTGGGTATTCAAAATAAAGTTACTCATTAAAGAGTTTCTCCTCCAGGACCTCAACTGAACTATTTGTCAGTTAATTGGTTAAATAAAGATTTAGAAGTAAGTGGAGAGACAAACCACGAGTTAAAAATTGATAGATTATTCTGCCCTTCCTAGGTTATAGTTTGTAGCTCTAGGGAGGGAATAGATACTGAAAGCTTTCCTTCTGTTGGAGGAGACATGATCCCACCAGATCATCATAAAACACACTTCATATTTTGGTCTTCCCCTGAAAAAATGCCACTGGTCCTCACAGCAGGGAGATGAGGCCAGCAGGGGAATCTCCTGGATGATGTAGAAGAATTTTCATCACTGTATACAAAATTGTACCAGCATAATGAAAAAGCTAATGTAGTTAACAATTTCTCTGAGAACCAGCATTAAATCAATGTTAAAGACAAACCCATCCCTTTTAACATTCATAACATGAATGTGCTTAGAAAAGCTAACTATGTGACTGTGGAGTGAAAATGCTAAATAATATGCATAGCATCTATTCATTATCTGGAATTTATGAATTAGGATTGTAGCCTAAATATATATGTGTGAATATGTGTTAACACTATGAATATAATGTAAACACTGGGGGTAGACAAAAAAATTGGGTTTCAGTGCAATTTGGTGGAATTTTTAAGAGGAGGTCACTAGTTTTGATATAAAGCAGGATGTGCAGCTCATAAATGCTTGCAGACACATGTAACTGTCTGAAAAGTTGCTGAAAATGTAAGCAATGACTCCTCCAAGAGAGATTTTCCACCTTCAGCTTTTAGGACAGCATGCCAAGTATTCCACGGTTGCAATAAGTTATTCCTGTCACTGGGGCAAGTAACTGAAGTTCAGGTGTAAGATGTGCCAGCTTCCATGGGATGCCAGTTTAAATGAAATAAGCATTGCACATTAATAATCAGCTTTGAAGGCTAATTCCATAATTCTAACCCTCCTTGCAGCTTTTGACACTGAAATCCCTTGAGAAACATCAGAGTAAAACTGACAGTTTCCTCACAGATTATACAGCCCATCAATTCAACATCACAATTTATTTTATGGGCATTTTTCAGTGGTTAGGGCAAAAACCATGCAAAAGCACATATGGAGGGCTGGGAGTGGAATTGCGTGTTTCTGAATGTAGCTTGGGAAAAGAAAGGGGCTTCTGGGTTTGATTTATGATACCAGTGACTCAGGAAACATAATACACTTTCGACTATTATTAAAATAATAATGTTCTTTTAAAGAAATAGAAGATATTTTTAAAGCACCCAACATTTTGCCACTAACTTGATATGAATTGGTAATTTCAGGCAATGAAGGCTAGAATAATGTGGGCCATACACAATGGTGAAAGAAAAGGTCAAGCAGAGGCATTAAAATGTAAAGACTGAATTTAACTTCTGTTGCAGAAAATTGCTTTCACTAATGCCAAGTGCTGCTTTGCTCTGGGTCAAGACAACACTTATGCATGTGATTAATTTAAAACATATGCGTACTTCCATTCCTGTTCAGCAAAGTACCTAAGCCTATTCTGAACATTAATACAATAGCTGTATCTTTTCACTAAATCAGGGACTTTAAGATACAGAGGTTTTAGTTGTGTTTTCCTTGGATATTATTTTTATGAGAGAAAAATAATTTGATTTTCCACAAGCATTTGTGGTGCTTTGGTTATTTTACTTTAAATTTTATTATTTTCCTGACAACAAAAAAAGTAAAACATATCATATTGGCATTTTTTAAAGGAGATTGAAACCTCTTCATAATCTCTAATTACACCCTTAACTGTGTATGCATTTGTTGCAACAGTACTGACATAGTCTGCTCTCAAGGAGGCCTGTGCATTTTTGTGGTTGGTAGAGTTTTTTTGGTTTGCTGTTTTTTTTTTTTTCTTTTTTTTTCTAGTGTGTGGTATATTTTGATTTTGTTTTGCCTTGTTTTTTCCTAACAATTCCATATTATTTACCTTGCCAGGTATTAAATCATATTTAGAGTACAAAGGGGAAAGTCTGTGAAGATTTTTTAAAGTATACTTTTAAACACTGGCTGTACTATTCAGTACTGCTCTAAAGCACTGGACAAAATTCTTTCTCAGCTTTAATGATCTCATGGTTCTTCAACTTAGAGTAAAAATGACATTGCATGCAAGAGCTGTTTGTTGCTATCCATTTCTAGTGGTCCTGTAATTTATACCTTTTTGAAGACAACTAGAAAAAGGAGATTCATATGCAAAGTGAATTGAAAGGGAAAGAATAAAATTAGATAAAATAGAGATTCTCTGCTTTTGCAAAGCTATGAGAAATGTTCTTTTAAAACTGTTAATAAAGCCACATGGTGCTAGTGTCATATATATTGCACTCTTTTTTATATTCAGGTAGTTCTTAAGCCATCAAAAATGGGAGTGTACATTGAACTTCAGTTTTTGTCATGATCAAAAAATTTCTAAGCACTCACTTAGTATTCAATCACTCACATGAGAAAAAAAATCCAGTTACACCAATGAAATGCTTTACAAACCTCACCTTGATTTCCATTCTCTTTCACACTATAATGGCTTTAATATCAATTCACATAAAAATTTACTTTTTTTGCAAATATTCTTTTGTTTTGCATATTCTCAAAATAGTATTTTTCACATATTTTCTCTTTCTTTTATACTTATCCTTACATTGTTATTTGAACATAGACACTCTGATTACACTGTGCAGAGGCTTCTTTCAGGAAGAATGAACGT